TTTTCAAATGTTACCATAAACTATCACCCTTCATAGGCAAAAGGTCTGTGCTTCTGAGCTTTGCATTCCCCAAGTGACCAGTCTCTACTCACTCTGTTCAGGCCTTTGGTTCAAAGTCCTACAAATAACAATGGATCATGTCTGGAAATCAAATGATAAAAGTTGGATCGCTACAGCCTACTTAAAATTGTCATCAGTTTTTATGTGGCAGAGTATCCTTGGGCATGTTTTGTTCTCAGTATTTTTCATTTCAATAGTTTTTATGCAGAATTTTATGACATTAAATTTTTAAGAGGCAGAATTCACTATTTCAGGACTTCCAGCAATAGCTTGAGAGTCCTTGTGAAGCTAAACAGAATATTTTTTCATCTGAAAGGAATCACTACAAATTGCTTTAACTACTCAAGTGTTTAACCTTTCTATACAATTTTAATGAGTTCCATGTATGATCAGAAAACAACAATACGGCTACATCAAATGAGGATCAACTTAGAGACAAAGGAAAGACAGGATGTTTCTCCTCCTTCCTTGAAAGGTTTTCTTTTGTTCACATTCTTTTAAGTGTTCTATAAGTGTTCTATCTTAGTCTATCAGACACAAAAAGCAGAAAACTGGCATGGAGATAATACCCAGGTCATACATAAGCACTGCTGTAGTCTGCTGCAAAGTACAAAATGAGTTGAACATATCGGGTCTACATCAAAGACATGCCCTTTGGCAGGTTGTAAAGACAAGTTGCAATTTTGTCCATAAAAATGTGTGTTCTACAAAATGGGCTCTGTAACATGAACTGTTAGTGGTATGCCACCATTCCATTGATCCTGCACATGCGTTCATTTCTCAGGAATGCTTGTAAGCTGGGCTATGCCTTGCCCTAAGATAAGCAGACTTGCATGAGGAAAAAAAGCAGCATGTCACAGACAGAAAGATTCTACTCTCTGCAGGAGACTTCTTCCATAAAATGCAAGTTCTGATAGAGGGCATGCCAGTGGCTCCTGCTTTACTGCCTGTATCACATACATGGTATTTACAGTAAGAGATTAATAGAATGGGAGACCTTTCCTGCTTATGTTTTAAAAATTAAGAGAACAGCGCTTGAAAAAACACTGCATTGCAGGAGGTTTTCAAAGACTCCTTAATCAAATACTGAAAATGAGTAAATACAACACTGACAGTCTGGAGCCTCAGCGTTTACACATTACAATGTGTTTTAAGACAGTCATGTAATATATTTTTCTGAAGCACTTCTGCTTTTTTCATTGTGAATATGGGAAACAGAGAGCTGTGAAACAACTCCAGGCTCAAGTCCAGTTCTTGTGTTCCTTTCTATCCATAACTATTATACGGTACATTATGAGTTTCAATATAGATTGAATACAGAGACATGACCATATCAATTTCTGTCATAATTACTGTGAGAGAAGTAGTAACAGAGAATGAATGAGGCAAAAGTGTAGCCACAGAAGGAGGATGATTTTACGACTGTGAAACAGAACTACTACAGAGACACTGTTGGTATCATAACTACCTCTCCCACAGATTTCCTGAACAGCTTTGAGTAAGGTACTTAATCTTTCCATGTCTCAACTCTGCATGGGCAAAGCAGAGGTCAAAATACTTAACCTCATAGGCATGTTGCAAGTATAGAAACATTTGCATTTGGGAAGCTACTGGGTGCTGCTAATAATAGCTGTGTATGTACAATTGAAACATAAAATGAAAATCTTCTTCAGCACTGTTTGAAAGGTGTACAAAAAATTAAGTATGGCACTTCACAACCAACAAAGAAAACATAATTAAAATTCTGCAGCTCTAGTGAGTGAACTTATAATAGCTGGCAAACTGGCATGCAAGTACATCATTTAAAGTGCACATTGTAATATATGGACATGAAAAACAGAGTGATAAAGCAATGCCAGCAATGTTATCAGCGTAATTTCATACATTTTAGCACTCGACTTTCAAAGCCTAGTATTGTTGCAATGTAAGGGCTTTTATAGAAAATCTACAGTGTAAATATCCATACAATGCCCTATGCATTAATTCACCCTCTTTTTCCTAAAAATAATTCAGCAGTACACAATTTTACAACATATTGATCTAGGTAAGTCATGAGTCGTTTTTTGTGAGTAGGTATCAATCACTTCATTGTTTACTTGTCTGTGGAAAGAAATTGATTTAATCAAACTTTGCAGTAATACTTTATTGATGTATCCCAAGAAAACAAAGTCATAATGAACCATCAGGGTCCTAACATAAAACACCGTAAGGAGCAGCAATTTCAGCTTCAATCTTTCTTAGTGATTTGCAAACATATGTGACTGTATACAAGTAGCAAAGACTAATGCAAGACTGTAGCTGGTCTGAGCAGCAGCACATGTCATTCACACAACAGATTTGGGACAAGCTCTGCCGAGCTTGGCAACACCAGGAGGCTGGACAAAACCACACACTGTGGACCTTGTGTATCTCCACCACTTATATACAGCAGTGTATCATCTTACATGCTACTTGATTTAAGCAAATCATTACTCTTCTGGGGGAAAATGTGAAGCAATAGGATATCATGAAAATAAGACTCTTAGCCCTTCTCCACAGCAGTAGCTCAGCCTTTGTTCTCTAGAGGCTTTAAACTTTTCCATGTATTAGACCACATGGGAACAGCAATTTTACTCAATACACAATAAATGCCTTTTATGCACATTCGTCAAACAAAACACAGCGTACAATGGTAACTGTAGCAGCAGCTTGAAAGAGTAAAGTTAGGATAGCAATTTGATGTATTTTATAGACTTCTGAATGCATATTCGTCAGCTTAGAGCACGGAGAAACAAGTACTGTAGCAACATCTGCTGCCAAAACTACTCTGGCAAAGGTGAGTATTTTACTGCAGTAAAACTTCTGTTACAATCACGAGAAATAAGAAAGTACAGTAGGGACACAATATCAGAGCATCTTCACTAATGCTGCATTATTACAGCATGTTGGGGGATGTATAACAAGCCACATCAGAATTTAGCACTGCCCAAGCCTACGAAAGTACCTCGATACAGCTTACAGAGACATCTATAGGTAGCGTCTGTCTAATACCTTATAATTATTTACACAGGAGAGAGAAGCTGAACTTCCTATCTAGGAATTCATATAATGAGGTGAAAACATTTTTACGAGGAAAGTGCTTCACAAATACACTAAACAAATAATAGTAATAAGATAGCATTACCCACTACCAGAAACAGATGCAACACTAGTAATGGCATGTTACTTAAACAGTTCAATCTGTATCAGAGATTAATAAAAGATAAAGTTAGTGTAGATAATAAAAAGCAACGTAGCCAGCAGCCTATCTTTCCAGCTTTGTCATCTTTCTACGCACTCGGCTGGAGCTGAACCAGACCCAACTTTGCAGAAGACACGCATACGGACGTGTACAACCATACGTGCTGTACCGTGCGTAACTATTTATTGTAAAATTCCTCGAATAGAGAGAACCCAGACGTACTCCGAAACGGGGAAAACAACATAAACAATGTACTCTGTTACACTTAGCAAACAGTAATACAGAATCATGAGAACAGATACAGTAGGGTAAGGGAGACAGTTTCTTAATGAAGTGGAAATGGACCGAGTCTCCAGTGCCACGGAGTCTTTTCAGAAGCGGGTTACACTGCCCAGCTCCATCGTGGAAGTAGAGACGGTGAAGCGAAATCCCAAGTCAGAGTTGTCTCTAACGCCCCTCACCCCTGTCCTGTCCCCACTAAAGCGATGGAAAGGCAAATCCCGGCTATTTCACTTTTCTCTAGATTAAAAGGAGGGATTTCCTCGGGATATCTGATGCACGAACTTTGCAGAGAGAGACACGGTCCCTGGGTATTTACACACACACACACACACACACATGCAGAAAGAAGAATAGAGGCATTTCCTCACGCACACACCGCAGAAGGGACGTAGGTATTTTTCTTCTCCAGGCAGGCAGGGACGGGCGGCAGAGCCGCGGGCTGTCCGGACCGCCAGCCCAGCGGAGCCGGGCACACGCACCCGCACCCTGCCGATGCTCCCGCACGGGCACTCCCGCACTCCTGCCCGCTCCCTCGCACACACGCCCCGGCTCTCTCTCCCTCGTTCTGGAGTCCCTCGCACACTCTTTCCCCCAGACTCGCGCACACGCTCTCTCTCTGTCTCTCCCCCTCCCGTCCCGCCTCACAGTGGCCCCGACCGCCGGCAACAAAGCGGCGGGCGGGCAGCGCGCCGGGCTGGCGGCGGCGGGACGCGCTCGCCCCGCGCACGCACGCACACACACACACGCACACACACACACACACACACACACTCACACTCACAGAGACACACTCACACACAGACAGACACACACACACAATGCTGCCGCTGCCACCGCGGCACCTACCAGGCGGGCAGCCTCGGCCCAGGTGCGGTCCTTCTTCTTCCTCTTGTCTTTCATGTTTGCATCTCATTGAGGTGGGGGCGGAGGAGGAGGAGAAGAAGGAGAAGGAGGAGGGTGGGGGCAGAGGCTCCCCGCGGCGGCGGCACAGCTGTGACAGCTTGAGGGATGCTCCGCCGCGCTCACAACAATGCGCTGTGACGTCACGCGGGGGAACCGCGCCCGCGCCCAACATCCCCACGGCGGCGGCGGCGGCGCCCCCCGCCCCAGAGCGCGCCCGCCCCCCAAGCCTCGCGAGAGCGGGGCCGCGGGCCGGGGGCGGCGGCGAGGGGAGCGGGATGGCGGGCCGGCCGGCGCCGCCGCACTACAACTCCCGTGGTGCTGCGCGGCGGCTCCCCGGGGACGCGGCGCTGGGGGCGCTGCCGGGGCGGGGGCGGCGGTCGGAGGTGGGAGGTGGTGGCGAGGGCGGCCCCCTCGGCCCCTTCCCCTCCCTCTCCGCCCTCTGCCCGCTTCGCGCCGCACCGCGTTTCATAAAACCAGCCCGACACACCGCCCGGCCCTCCCCCGGAGTGCGAGCCCATCGCTGGCTCCTACTTACGGCTGGGGCGGTCCCCCGGCCCGGCGGTGCCCGCCCGTGCCCTCCCGGCTCCGGCCGGACCCGCTGCGGGAGCGCCGAGCCAAAGGCAGCCCCGGGCGGGCCGGTGCCAGCGCGCAGGAACCCCGCGTTAGCGTTTCAGCTCCTTTTCTTGTCGGAACAGGAAAGAACATCTTGTTCCAGTGTGTAAACAAAGGGAGTTGATGTGCTGCGCTCGTAAAACCGCCGAATGAGGTTTTCTTTAATTGGATGGCCCAGGATTAAGATACCCACGAAATGCGGAGCGAAGGGACTTGGCACACCTTCCTGAGTTGCAGGATATTGTTACGCGGGGCTTTTTCTCCCCCGTGTTTCCTCCTTTCGCCCAGATTATAAACTGCATTAGGAATATTATCGAAATACATTAGGTATATTTTGTTCCGATTGAAACGAGTTAGAAATTATTCAAGGTTTTCTTTATCCATCTGTTCAGTGCCTGCTCTCCCTCCTTTGTCCTCTCAGCAGCACCCGTGTTAGGTCTTGCCTTATTCCTTTGGTAATATTAAACCTCATTTCTCCGTAAATGCACAGTGGGGGGGAGGAGGAGGAGATTTATGCCAAACCAACTACCACAGTGTTTAGTCTGTTTTATCAAGAAAGCAACCAGGACACCCTGAGAACCTTCAACCCCTCAAGGAACCAGAAGAACCAGATCGCATCCCCCAAACACTCTAAACGAGCACTCACACAGTCTCATGTTTTGGATCTTCCTCCTCATACTTACATTTTAGTGGGATATGATGCATGGAAAGTAGCACCTTTCCAGATTTCATTACTCACTCCCACTTATATAAAAATATAAAAATATGAGCAAAACAATATTCTGTTAAAACAGCTGCTTCTAAATTTAGTTTTGATTCCTGTCTATATAACATTAAGCAGAGGATTTGAGTATGCCTCAGAAATGTACTTGAGAAAAATGTCGCAGCTGCAATGTTTCAGGTTTGACAGTGAGGTTGTGCAAAAATTTTTACAATCAGCCAGTTGTCGAAACAGCTACATATTCCTTTGTTATTTACTGAATGCTGCCTTTGTCACCTCAGTAACATTTAGAAAGAAAATGCGTGCTGTTACTATCACTTCTCTATGTTTTGTGGTTTTGACTTCATTTCCACCTTTTTATGTCTCTGTCCTACTGCAGGTTATTTTGGGTTTTTTTTTTACCTCTGCGTTTCCTCACCTTTAATGACTTTGTATTCCAAATCATGCAGGTTTTATTCACATCTCATTGCCCATGCTAAAAGCCTAAGTCTGTAGTAATTGAGTACTTCATTACAAGTGCCTTTGAAATACCTTCATTGTTTTCAGTATTGAAAATACAACAAAACAGAAAAAAATGTAGGAACATTTATCAGTCATTGCCATCATAACTGGCTGTTGGAAGACAGAAGGAAATATTCTACATTAGTTCCCATCTCTTAATAGGTAGCTGCTTCGCATACATAACGTGAACTTCTGTTATGAGACCTCTGATGTTGCCATGGTGGTGTTGGACAGAAAAGGACACTGTAGGGAAAAAAGGTTCAGTGAGCTCCTAAAGCTAATCTGACTCTGTGGATTTTTTGGTTGGTTTGCTTGGTTTCTAATATTGTCTGCTGCAGTCAGGATTTGACTTCCTTTTGGTATTTCTGTGGACCCCTGGAGTAATCTTATTATTTATATTACAATGGTTAAATGACAGTGTTATGCTGTCATTTAATTTATTTGCATCATTCTTACACAATCCAGGTGCTCCTAAGTAATGGAATAGTTTAGATTGGAAGGGACCTTAAAGGTCATCTAACTCCAACCACTCTGCCATAGGCAGGGACATCTCCCACTAGACCAGGTTGCTCAATGCCCCATGCAACCTGCCCTTGAAAGTTCCTTCTGTTGTTCACATGAAAATGGTTGGGAATCATATAGTGACAATTAGGGGCACTGCCTTTGCTGGAGAAAGAAAACCTGTTATGCTGTTTGCTGTATTGGAGGACTCACTGGAGAGTACCCACCAGGGCAGAGAGCTGGGGGGTACTCTCTATGTTTCATGATGGGATAAAAAAAAAAAAGGAATCTATACTCCTGAAATAGATTTTTTTTTTCTGCAATAAGTGTTGTAGCTGAATCCAGTAAAGTTTGCCAGCATACACAGAAATCTCAACAGAGCAGTACAGTTCTGCTTTAAGAGAGTCAAAGTCTTGTGTAAGTCTAGAAGTACAGCAGAAAAAGGTCAAGTTCATCTTATGAAAGAAGATATTTGCTATTGATTGTAGATACTGTGTATTTCGTGAGTTGGACCTGACACTACAGGAGATCGTAACTGTTGCTTCTCTAACTGAATTGGCAATAGGAGAATTGAGAAATGGTGAACTGCCTTCAAACTACAACCATTGGAATTATGGCTAAAAGCTCAGCATATATAACATGTATAAGTGTGTATATATATGTCTGTGCGTGTGTGTAAATATTTACAGAGTATTGTAAACCAGATTGGATAGCCTGCAAATACTGCAGAAAGATGTCGCATTAAAACACATAATGAATTTTTACCTAAGCAATATTTATGTGATGCTACAGTACCAGATGTTACTGGTTTGACCATGGATGGAATCAGTTGCTTATTATGGATGTATTTGTGTCCAGTTACATTTTCTTGTATCTATAGAATGGTCAAGTAGATACCAAGATAACACTGGAGGCTGACTTCTTAGCTTCAGTAATGCATACCCAGTGAATGCATTTACCTGAACTGCTGTAGTTTTAGGCTTGACATTATCTAGTAAGCCACCTCAAGAACATTATTCTTATTTCCTGCATAGAAAAATTACTTTTGATATCTACTGCCAATTTTTATTCTTGTGTACAGTAATACTCCTGTTAAGCAGAAATCTGTGACCTCCACTTCTTATGCAAGTGTTTATATATATGTAAATACGCATTGCTTCAATACACTGAAACAGTGTTTCAACACAAATTACAGTTTCAGTTCTTACAAAAGAACTAGTATCAGCTGTTACATGAAAATGCCATATGTGTGCAGAATGATTTATTCACAGCATGACAATTCAATCTAATGTGCCACTTCTACAATGGAAATTATATTCTCTACAATTGAACAAGAGATACTGAGTTACAAGATAATTAAGAAAATATACCAGATGATACTAATGGAGTCACTGCATTTCCTAAATTAGTGTTAGTACAGTGGTGACAAAAAGAAAACCATAAAATACGGGTTTATATTGGACTTAGAGGAAGCCAAAGCCATTGGGATTGACAATTGACAGTTAACCATTTACAGATACTGGTGTCATAGTTATAGAGTGTGTTTTATACTCTTGATTTAAAGAATGGCTATTGCCATTCCAGACAGTTTGTGCTTCACAGCATTTATTACAGTTAATGGAACTTTCCTCTTTTAATCATATGCCATATGGACCTGAATCAACATCCCAAGTTTTTCAAATATGTTACTAAGTCATAATAACAAGCTCAGAATCTAGTATTATCAGGATGATATTACTGTATTTGGAAAGTCTCCTGAAGTTGATGAAAAAAACCAAATCCTATAGTCTATACTTGATACAGGAGGGTGGAACTTAAATTTTGCTAAATGCTAACTTATATGCACAGAGTATTCTTTTCTTGAGCGTGGCATTTCTTCTTTGAGATTGGTAGAGGTCATAGAATATGTGGAAGAGCCCACTCTTCCTCCACTTCCCCAGAAAAAAAAAAAAAAAAAAGAAAAATCACAACCGTATTTTTCAGTTCAGTTGATATTTTTCAAATCAAAGTGTACATTATTTAGGTACAACTAAGGTATGTACATTTATTCCTAACTGTGTAATACATGAAGACTATTAGAAACAATGCACTGTAAAATTTAAAGTTTACCTGATTCCTATCTCACCTTAGCAAATTTTCAAATAATGAAAGTTTGACTGTAAATAATGAGGATTTATTCTGTTGGCTTTAGAGTTTACCACAATTGTCATTACTTTTGTCTCAGACCAAGAATGGCCAAATACTATAAATGTAGGGTTATTTCCTTTTCTCCCCCCTATCACTCTCCAGCAGGCAGATAAACACTCATGTATTTTTTATGGCACTGCAGCCGATCTAATAAACGTGGTTGCAGCTAAGCTGTGGTCCACTTTGCCCTCCTAGCATGTGAGAAGTGATACACCCAGCATAGAGAGCTTCCCAAGCAGTCACCTTCCAAACTACCTCCAGGCAGCACCTCCCTTGGCCATGCTGGCCATCATTTTTCATACCAGGGATACGGAACCAGCCTTTCCCAAATCCATAGGGACAATTTCTATGAGAAGACTGTTGTCTTTGGATGATGAACAGTTTACAAGATGCCATAAAAATGTTGGAAAGAAAATATTTCTTTGTACATACACAACAGAACAGTAGAGAACCTGCCTCTGAGGCATTGCACCCCAACTGCATATAGATCACACCTCCTGGTGGTTCTGTAAACCTCAGAGGAAAAGGAAATGTCTGCAGATGGCTCACAAGATTACTTTCATTTTTATATTACACAGTTTAGTCAAATCAAAACCAGAGCAGCTGATAGTTTATCTCATCTGCTCTTTTTTAGATGCTTATCTAGTTGATTATATGGAAGTTGCTGCATGGATTATAAATATGCAATTACAAGAGAAAAAAAATTAAAACTGTTTACTTGTAGTGTCTGATTTAACAGAAATTACATATCTTCCTATCTAGAAAGAGATTCCAGAATTCCAAATGTATGGATGCTATTCTAATACCATATTTCAACCTACAGAATGAACTTCACCCACAAGATAGACACGTGATGAAGTATCACCTCAAGTTATATAGAATTTCAAGGAATTGTGAAAATGTCCCAGAGGAGTTAAAATTTATACAATGTGCTCACGGTAAGTCTCAAGTTGTCCTAACAAACCAATGATTGCAGGACAATTACTGGTATCCAGAACATGATATGAAGGACTGAAGTTTAATACTAAAACTATTACCAGAATTAAGTGTCTCGTGCTGTACCCTTACAGCCTACCCCTTACAATTTATTTTTCTGTGAATAACTGATATTACAGTCAATTTTGGCAATCACATATTTTTTGGCAATT